TACACGGAAAAAAAAAATCCTATGAAATATTACATTGGTAACATCGTAATCCAGGACTAGACTTTCAGTATGTTGATTTTTACGATGCTGCCGTCTACAGAATACAATTTGAATTATTGAAAATTACGATGTTATTTAGTAAATTTTTTTTCCGTAAGAGCAAGTGAATAAGGACGCATACTATATGTTTTGATAAAAAAGAGACAGCGTCCAATAGTTTGCGACGCCACCACCGAAAGATGACCAACTTCTGTATGGAGGGTCTTATTATGTGACTGAACAGAAAGTATACATATTCCCTCTGATGGCGTAAGGAATAAACCTTGGGCTTATGGTGGAGAAGACACCGGGTTCGATTCCTCGGTGATACAGAATTATTTTTTCTTTATACCTCGGTCGAAAGTACGCATCTTTTGCACCTATTTCATGGCAGAAAGTTAAAGATTTGTGCATTGTTAAAGCTACACATTCGCCCTCTATAACAGCGGGAGCATAAAATGCTTTCGTTACCGCGACTGACATATTAGTCATTTGTTACTAATTATGTTTTGTTTACGCTGATCATTTACGATTGATGGTGCAACACAACTTGGTTATATTTATTTTTTTCTTCTACTTACATGAAATATTTCATATATAGATAGAGATATTGATAAAGATATTACTGCCGTTAGAGTGAGTAGATCATCCGATGTAACTTATAACCAGGTTATACTGTACTAAGATTCAGTTTGACAGTGACGTGTGTAAAATAGATCAACTTTATTTAATTAATGAATTATTTAGAATAATGTACGGAGTAACAACAATTTAATTTGATTTTTATTAATTATTGTTAATTTTCAGATAATATGCTCGTTTTTTTTTTATTTTTAACCGAGAATAATCTTTATTATGTTTGTTGAATTCAAGAAATTTCAGTTTTATTTAATCTAAAAATTTTTCAAAAAAAATGTTTGTTAATTATTTTTTATTTGATTTTTACATTAAAATTTTTTTATTTGATGCCTGCCCCCCCCCTCCCGACCAGCAGCACTCGCTTCGCTCGTGCCGCAAATGTCGGGGGCAGGCATCAATTTTTTTTCGATGCAGTACAATAAATATTTTACGTACTTTCGACCGGCTATAAAGAAAAATATTATATACTACACGGGCAGAAGTTTGAGAGCTCTAAACTGCACGCCGTGATGCCCTCGGCTACGCCTCGGGCATCATGGCGCGCAATGCAGAAATCTCAAACTTTCTGCCCTAATAGTGTAATATACTATTTCGTCATTGTGTAGAGTGTTAAAATTTGTGTGTTGAATATTTACACTCTAGTGTGTAGAATTTAACATTCTAGTGTTAAATCATTAAATTAACACATGAGAATGTTAAATTCTACACACTAGAGTGTAAATATTCAACACACAAATTTTAACACTCTACACAATGGCGAAAAATTTTTTACTGTGTATATTATCATAGACGTGTCTATTCACATGAAAAAAAAGCCGTAAGAAAGCCACGCCGCGGGAATGTAAGGACCTTTACATTTACGCAACGTGGATTTAAATGTGAATAGGTATGTCCTATTTATTATAACATATGATTTGTTATCCTCATGTTAACATATTCATTTGTTATCACAACATGTCTTATTTTGTCTCGAAAAATTTTTTTTTGCTTAAGATTATAATACTATCAATTTAAGAGCATTTTTTTATAATTAAGAAAGAGATTTTTTTATTCATAGATACATTTTTGAAAACCAAATTGTTCTTGGTTCAAGTTATTCGTTTTTTTTTGTGCAGAAATCGCTATGGGTGTTCATTTAAACAAAAAATGTTGATTTATACGTTACTCAAATAAACCAAATCCCAATTAATTAAAATCTCAAAGCCGTTTTATGATGTAGACTTGAAGGATTAAATTCTCGACTATTCAACACTCCAGCATTGAAGGGTGACTTGAAGCACAGCAACATTGTGTGGAAGTACATAGATTTCGACAACACCAACCAACATGCAAGGAACACTTTCTACATAGTTAAACGTTTGTTTATTCAGTTGCAATCTTGATTCTTTGCATTAATATTATATCAGAGAAGTAATTTTCACGTAACACAGGTCTCTACGTGCTTTGTCAAGGGCTAGAATTCTCATCAAAAATAAATTTCTCACTTAATATGCACGCGAGAATTATTAAACTCTGCGAATAATTTTATTTGTTGCGAGGGAAATATTAATTTACGTCTGTGAATGAATTGTGTTGACAGTGGATGAGAAATACTTCTTAAATGATCTGAAAATTGTATTGAAAATTGTGCCAGACTAATCGAATCAAGTTCCGTCGAAATTATAAATGTGTTTACACTGCATCCATATTTATGTTCCGCATGTACAAATATTGTTACACTAAATTAAAACAAAGAGAAACCCTGAAAGCTGGAGACGTCTATTAGAGCATGCTTTAGAATGCGCATTTGATTTTTAAAACATAATTTGTATTGTTGACTCATTAAATAAAATGGAAATAGGGAAAATTATTCTCTTACTGATAGATAGTAAGAAATAAAAAATAGTAAGTTGAGTGAAAGATTAAAAATGTTTACAGATATTCGCTGGGTGCGTAAGGCATAGTGGGGGACACAAAACTGATATCAGCGTCCGCTGTGGACAACACAGAACTGAGGGTGGCTCTTTATTAGGGTAGGGCGGGGCTAGTTGATCGTAGGGGCAAGTTGTGCAATCGAAATATCTCGAAAACTAAGCAACTTACAACAAAAGTGTAAATGGTGAAAAGAAAGGGTTACGAGAGGAGAACACATCGCGCGAAAGTCAACTGTCGTCCGATGTTTAGACTAACTGACAAAACGTTTGCTTTTTTTTTGCGTCAAAAAAAAAAAAAACGGGTCTTTAGAATTTTTCTCCTACACTCTTTTAAAAATGCTATTTCGTGATCACAAAAGTATTCAAAGATGACTTAATGTTTACCCTTTCGATTATATATGATTGTTTATTTTTTATTCTTATCATTTTTTTATAACCTAACTTTTATTTTGTTGCCTCAATTGGGGCTGGTTGAGCAAGGCGCTAACTGCGTGTTAAACCAGACCTACTAGATTTTCAATATTGAAAAATGAAATTTTTCATTACTAAATTAATAATTATCAATTGATTTGTACATATAATGATTTAATATGATGTGTAAAAATTAAAATAACTCATATTGATATTATATTAATAAATATATGACAAAATTATAATTAATATTATTATGTTTATAATTATTATTATAATAATAATTATACGTATTTAGAATTCTAATAAATCAAATATTTGCTCGTTAATTACACAATTATTTTGTTTTCATATCATTCTATACAGTCATTTCGTCTATTTTAGCCATTTGCACAACTAGCCTCATACCCATGCTCAACTAGCCTCACTAGTGGGGCACGTTGAGCAATTTGGAGCGCTCGCGTATTTTCGGGAATAACTTGAAAATTTGGACTCGAATCGTTTTTGTGTCGCTAGACCCTTTGAAGAAGACTAAATTACGAACCTAACAGTACATGACTTGATTAAATCCGATACATCATCTTAAAGTTATGGAAGGTCGAATCAAAAAGTGATCAACTAGCCCCGCCCTACCCTACTAAAAGCTATAAAAATAACACGTGTGTTAGTTTAATTAAATAAATAAAATATAATGGGTCATCAAAATTGTTGTGTAGTTGATTGTAAAAATACTAGTAGAAATAGTAATTGTAAAGTTTATAAGTTTCCGGTTGCCAATTGTAAATTAAATCAGCGAAAAAAATGGATAGCTGCTGCTCAACATCTCTCATATGTTCAGCCAGGACTAAATTTTTATCCTTTATTAAAGTTTGTGGTTGAAAAATAATATTATGGGTAATAAATTGCAAAATTAAATAAAGAAAATAAAAATTTAAAATACATTCGTAAATATATAATTATGTTAAATAGCTATTAGTTATTTTTTATATAATTTCAGATTGTTATATATTTAATATTAATACTGATTTTTCATTTAATATTAATTTAACAATAAACACCTCGACAGATTTTAACACTCATTATAACCTAATTCACTTGAGATTTGTTTTAGTTATTGTGTTTATTTTCCTTACACGCAGAAAAAAATTTTGTTAAAATAACTTAAGATATGTTATGGTAACAAATGAATTTGTTAACATAGGGATAACAAATCATATGTTAAAATAACAAAATTTAGGTTATGACAAGTTATTAATATGTTATAACAACAAAACAGTTTTGTTGCTATAGCAAAATCTTGAAGTTGATTCGACAAAATATATTATATAAATTGAAAAAAAAAAATTCCTCACCTTTACTTGTGACAAATCTTGATTAGTAGGTTCAAGTTGTTGTTGATGGACTAATTTCATTGCCGATGAGCTCGTTGATGGTTGTATATGAAAGTCTAGATTGGTAGGTTCCAGTTGTCGGTGATGAACTGAATCTATCTCAGTGGAGTCCGTTGATAATTGAATATCATTTATAATATCCTTAAAAAAAATAGTTCAAGTATTTCTATAAATATTATATAATTCATATCAAAAATGTATGAAATGAAAAATAAGTCATGTTTATACTGTAAAGCTATACAACTTAATTTGGTTGAGGGGTTCAAATAGTTAATGAAAAATTATCAAAAGACATGAAGAATTATTTTTCATAAATAGGAAACTCATAGATTAGTTTTGCTAATTTAGCTGGTTAACGGAAATAAGTTTGTTAATTAATTAATAGTTTATTGATTCACTGAATCAGTGTGGGTAAATATTTTGAAGCTAAATTAGAAGCAAATTTTATTTCTCATAAGTATGAAAAATATACATAACAAGTGAACTAAAAAAATAAATAATGTTTGTTCCGTTATTGTATGCTATTGAAAGCATATGAAAAAATTTTACTTTTTAATTTTGATTTATAGTAAAGCAGTCATTAATAATTTCGAAATAGCTACAACTTGTACACCAACTACATATAAATATATCTATGCCATGATATAATAAATTGCTCATTTTATTTTTAGAAAATTTTAACAAGTGAAAAAATCCAAAAATGCGATCGCTAAAGAAATAATTTTGTGAGAAAAATTATTGGTTTGTTAATTTTTCGTCGTGAAAATATAAATATGGCTAAAAAAATTTTATATTTAAAACTAATCAATATAAAAAATGAAGAACTATTCTGCAACCGGCATTTTTCGTAAAAACTAATTTCTTTAATATTAAAAAAAATATTTAATATCAATATTAATGTTGATAAAATAAATTAGGTGGTTTAGCTGTTGTATGAATAATCAAATTACTTAGGCGAATTGGTTACATCAGTCTAATTAAAGGATTAATTAATTAGTGAAGCTAATCAATCATTAATATTTTATCTGGCTTAACCGACTGAATTGTATAGAGTGTGTACTTACTATCTCGTCTTCATGTTGAATAATGCTGTCTAGGGCTTGATTCTTCACCATATCTTGATACTTTTTAAGTCTTGGTTGCTGTAAAAATATTTTTTAAACTATATATATTATTTACTTAAGATACCCTGAGAGGAGAGTGGTTGAAAACAAGATAAAAGATTGTAAATGAGTGTCAAGTAAAAAATGTAAGAGGTGTATCGATAATTATGTAATTCTAGGCAAAATGTAATTCTATGTATTTTTGCTAATTGAAAATATCCTGTAAGGACATATAATGAAATAAAAATTATCATTATTATATTATTTACGTACATATCATTACTGAAAGATAAATTGATTTTATAACTTACATTATCAGACGAGTCATGGTCGTGATAAAGCATTAACTGGGTGACTTTTAAATGCATTTTGTCTGATGTAGTTCTTAAAACGATAGTCGCCGGACATTGGATTACGTTTATGCTATAAAATAAATATTGAGTTTTAATTATTAAAGTTCGGTAATTAAAACAATTGATTGTTAAAAAGTAATACCGTTACATACCCTGGATTTGCTTCTTTAAATGCATTTAAAGCCTCCTTTTTCGGATTTACACTACATTTATAATACTTCTCATCATAAATTAACTTGCTATTATAATTTACAGAAAGTTTTTTAAGATTTTTAAAAGTCTTACTATTCGCTGTAGTAAATTTATACTTATTTATTTGCGTATACAGTTCCACTTTTTTCTTGACAGCATCGAAGCTATCAAATAATTCATTTATTTGAAAAATTGGCTCATTTGAATCCATGACGACAAACTTTTTATAAATAAAACAATTATGGCTAAATTAAATCTTACAATTGATGAACAAATGATGAAAGCTTTTCGGTATACGTTGAGTATAAAATACGCGTTATGCTCGTCAGTTTGATACAGGAAATAAATATAACCAAAGATAGCCACAATTCTAAAACATAATTCTGATCTTATGATAAGTTGTACTGATGATTGGTAAAGTAGATTTCGAACCCGTATATTCTGGTTACGGCCAAAAGTAATACATATTAGACAAATGGTACTATGTTATATGTATCACTTGGTTAATACCGTCGAAGCCATGAGTAAATTAAGATGGTAGGACTGAATTGAGACGAAGTCATTGAAATAACGCGCATTAACCTGAGAGATTTTTGTTACATATATTAAATAATAAATTATAAAAAAATAAATTGAACGTTGCAAGATTAAGGCAACTTAAAACAAGTAATTAAATATTTTCATTAATTATGGATATTGAAAAAGTGTTTTATGTCGGAAGACAATTCGGTAGTTATCAGGCTTGGCAAGAAATATTTGAGGATTATAATAAGAAGAATAATCAAGTATTTACAATTTGGGACTGTCATCTATTAAATGAAAGTTCAAATATTGATCAGTCGATTATTGATACTTTCAAGTATTCTTATGTAAAATTCAAATGCAAATTCGGACCTTCTCGTGGATCACAAGCCACACAACGTCAAACAAGGTAATAACGATCTATTAAATTAATTCTAAAAATAATCTATTAGGGAATGTAATTTATATTTTGACGTTTTTTTTTTGTTATTTTTACATTCGCTATTCATGTTATTATGAATTAAAATCAATATTTTATTCTATGTAAATGTAAAACTTGTATATTTTTGCAGCACCTGCAAGATGAATTGCCCTAGTTATTTCCTTATTTCGCTTAAAAACTTCAGGTATTTCGAAATAACTGGACTGCATTTAGAACACAAATACCACGAAGAATCTAAAGTAAGTAATTTTTTTCATGTCCGAAAGAAGCCAATTCTTTTCAATACCATTTGCATACACTTCAATATTTTTTTTAAACAAGGAGCTAAATTAAATTAATATTTTAGATGATTATCATAATTTTCTGAATCTGCCATTATTTTATCAATTTAATATGAAATGAAAAAATACAGAAATTTTTTCAAAAATATCCAATATTGTACAAGTAGTTATTATTTTTTTTTGTCTGACTTAAAATTATTTTTTCTACTTCAGCTGGTAAGACTACATCTGGTAGTTTTATTCCGTACTGTGCAATGTGTAAAAGTCCAAAAACTCAATCTTTAGAATTTATTATCTCTAAGAAAAATTAAAATTCTTTAAGCATCATGAAGAATTGTGATGTTGAACTGAAGTCTTGAAAAAAAATTTTTTTTTTATCTAAAAAAAACTCTTTAGTCGTAAACAAAAATTTTGTCTTTTCATCAGTCTAATATATATTCACAGAGTATACACACTATCGTCATCACTGATACGTACTGGTTGAGAATTTTATAGTTAAGTCGAAAAATTAAAATTCAGATATCTGTAAATAAAAAAATCGGTTAATGAAAACTGCATGCAAACATTAATTTTGACAAAATTATTGTTTTTTTTTTTTACGAAAATTTACTAATTACATTGTTGAAAAATATCTTTTGTTCAGTTGTTTTCTTTTTTATCATTAGTATTGTATTTTTATTTTTTTTTTTTTTGTAATTTTTAATTGTGTATTTTTAGTAAGGTAAAAGTCCAAATTTTGTCAAAAATAATGTTTATATCAATTTTTATTTACAAATTTCTAAATAATAATTTTTCTATTTTACCATCAAATTGCCAAATGGTACGAATTAATGACGACGATAGTAATATACACATATAATATATAATTAAAATACTTCTTTCTGAAAGTAATATTTTCAATTTATTTTTTTAGCGATTTTATGAATGTATTCCTGAAGTTAATAAATTAACGAAAGAAGAAGAAATTATGATTGGAAAGATGTTAAAATTAAATGCCGATAAAAAGCAAGTGCAAGTTATGATTCAAAAAGAACTTCGCAAAATTGTACCATTGAAGAAGCTACATAACATAAATAGCCAAGTGAACTCAGGAAACAACGATCTAGAAGCAGTAGTCCAACTTCTTCGAGACTCGTATCGTAAGTTTCATGACAAGAATAAAATAAAAATTTTAATTTAAGTTTATATATCACGTTTCGCATACGAAAGGGAAATACATGATTTTATACGCGTTTTTAATTTTGCAGTAAATAATTATTTTGGCTTTCTCAGATGAAATTAAAAAATCATTTAAAATAGTTTCATTTTAATTTTTTTTATACATCCTAGAGTAATTCAAAAAAGTGTTTATTTTTGAATTTTCGCTCTTATCTTCGTGAATTTTTTTGTTTAACGTAGATAAATCCTCACTACCCGACTAGAAATTTTAATGTAAGACCTATTGGGTCCCCATTGGGTTGCCCAATGGGGACCACACATAGGGATGTAACGCAAAGCCCTATGTGGCCCTCATTGGGCAATCCCTCTTGGGCCCCAATAGGGAAATCCCCATCAGAACCCCATCTAAATTTTGAAAGAAAAAATATTAAAATTTTCGAAAAAATTAAAAATACTTCAGGATTATACACTTATATTATATTAGAACGCATTAGTGAATTTAATCTCTGATGGAAATGGAATTAGTGGTTGAAAAAATCCTTGGCGTGAGTTGGGCTCGAACTTGCGTCTTTAGGGTCCTCAGTCGTGCACGTTACCGCTGGTCCAAGCAGGAGTACTGTTACAGTGGAATTTTATTTCGTATACATCAACTTAAGCGATTTACTGAGACAATATTCATGTTATATTAGAAATTTAAGAAATTATTTTTTTTTTTCATTCACTTTACTGACTTAAAACTACAGTTTTTGTAGAAACGAAATAGAAAATGAAAATTTTAAAAAAGAAACTTTACTGAAAAATTTTTAAAAATTGGAAAAATCAAAAATATAATTCCTTAAAACTGCCCGATTGATTTGGAATCCTCTTTATACTAGCAAAAAAATTTTTTTTAGAAAAATAAAATTTTTTTGAAATCCAAATTTTTTTTTAAATTACATTTTTGATTTTTTTTTATCTGCTTGTTTTTACGGTGCATTTATGATAAAAAAATGTTGTGAAAGAAAAAAATAAAGATTTCAATAGCTTATTTGCCTTTGATGTTGAGAAAAAATTTTGGCTTTCATGTTTTTGCATAAAATTTCTATTTTATCTTTTTTCGATGTTTTTGAATTTTTTCTAAGTACATAAAAAAACGAACAATTTAAAAAACAATTGTTCAATTTGATGAAAAAAAAAAATTTAACACAGCTTAGCTTGGGTTGACCTCACTTGTAAGTAATTACCAAATTTTCCTATATCGATAAAAATTTCATTATCAAAAATTTTAATTTTTTTTATAACACAAATTCTTTTGCAAATGTGAATCTCCTCAAAAGTTGGATATTCTTCAAAAATTGAATTCTTACATATTGAAAATAAAAATTTTTTTCAGTGAAAATTTTTTTTTGTAGTAAAAAGAAAAAAATTTACGTATGAATCTCGTTTCAACAACATTAAAAATGTATTTCAGTCTAACAACTTAGTATTTGGATTTAATCTGAAATTGATCCCAAATTAATCTGGGATGACGCTGCTAAAAAACTCCGGATTCACTCCGTGCGCGAATTGCTTAATTACTTCACTCCGAAACTCCGAGTGATGGGATTAAATTTTAATTCTGATTAAAATTTTCTTCGAATTCATCCCAATATGTTACAATTTATTTTTAATCTCGTAAAACTAAATTTTTTAAGACATAAAGTTATGTAAAATTTGAAAAAGCTTAACTAAATTTAATTGTTTTTGTTTAACAATGTTGAATTAATTTTTTTCCTTATTCTTTTCTATACTTATAACAGCTAATTTTTATTCGTATTCCTAATTAATTTACAGCAAATATATGCTAATAATCACATAATGCATTTGCAAGTGATGAATTGAAAAACTGATAATTTTCCATTTTCACCCTAGATATTCCCACTGTGGTCTCATATGAATCCAAACTAGAAGAAAACTCGTAAAAATTTTGTTATTTCACATTGGGCATTCCCACTTTGGTCCCACATGAATCCCAACAGGAAAAAAATGCCAAAAATTTTTTATTTCCACGTTGGGTATTCCCATTTAAATCCTACATGAATCCCAACTAGAGAAATTGACAATAAACTTATTTCCTTTTTAATTGGGAATTCCCAATTGGGTTCTCATTGGGTCCTCATTGGGATTTCCCTATTGGGCATGCCCCATTGAAACCCAATGGGGCCCAGATGGACCTTGGGGACATTCCCAAAATAATTTCTAGTCGGGTAAAGTTGGGCGTTAAAGCTCAACTCTATGAGGTCGCTATTGTAATTTTAGTTTCCGTTTTAATAATCATAATATATTCCTAAAGCTGACTCTTTGAAATTTTTAAAACTTTACAATAACGTATGATTATTATAAAAATTAAAAAACCTGTTACAGCCATTTGAAAATTACTGAATTTCCGACTACCGAGGAATTGTACATAATAATTGTTTATTTATATGATTTATTAAAAATTTCAACCACAACTGTTATTACAAGTGTATTTTTTTCGCAAGTTTAAAAATGGTCGTCAGTACAAAAACACGATATATTATAATAAGGAATTGAAGGATATATTATCGTTATTTATAGAAAAAAGAGTTAATTACAAGTAATTTCAATTTTTATAATAAGAACATTTTTTTCCATGTTAATTAAATGGGAAACTAAAATAAAAGTAGCGAAGATTTTTTTTACATTGAATAAAAACATTTGAGGGGGTAAGAGCGAAAAAAAAAGTAAAAATTTTTTTTGCATCACCCTAATATATCCCAATAGTCAATATAATTAAAATCCCGAACGAATCCAGGATAATAATCAGTTGAATATCTGATTTAAGTTACTGTACACCCCTAATTTCAACCCTTGGCTAATAAGCAACTCATGTTATCTCTATATCGGAACAGGATGTAGGTATAAAAAATTTGAGGCCTATCATATAACTCACAAAAATATTGAGACGTCATCCCGTGTCTTTTAGAGATTTTAATTTTCACCCATATGTTCAACCTCATGTTTGATTTTTTATAAGAATAACATAAGAAGAATAGCTTTTGCTCATTCTGATTTCTATTACTCCTAATTAACGGTCATACAGAAAAGGTGTTGGAAAAATTTTGTAGGAAATTGAATGATCTACAAAAAATATGCCTTATGATTTTTGCTCATCTAAATGGTTTAAAGTTATTACAGTTCAAAGTTCAACTTAACATTTGATTCTTGGGTGTTGCAGGGACACTTCTCAGTTTAAGGAAGTACGAGCGTAACTAATGAGTCAAAATAATGTTAAATTTTTTTTTTAATTTTAGTCTTCCCAATATTCGTTAAAATTCTTTATTTTAATTTAAAAAAATTTAAACAATCTAATAATTGATGATTTTTACTTATTTAATAAAATAAAGTAATAAAATGACTTTCGTATTTATTACTTGCCGGAATAAATAAATAGATTTGACAATAGCGCGCTTGATTATACCCATAACAGAGACATGGATGAGTGTGTGAGCTTAACATTTCTCTCTCTGTAACTATATTTCTATCCTTTTCTTTTTTCTCAGCTGCTGACGCGATTTTGTCAAATCCTTATTCGAATAAATGGCTGACGATAAACGAGTTACAAACATAAAATTTGACTTTAAATATTTTATAAATTATATCAGTAATGTATTATTATTAAATTGTTTTTATATTTTGCAATAATCCAAGTTTCTTGTGTATAGTTTTTTATCCGTTAAAGTTGGGAGGTTAATATTGAAAAAAATAATTAAAGTCTCGACATAAGTTTGTCCGCCATAACAGCCCGTGTATAAGGAAATAAAATATGTGATTTTTAAAATTTAATATTTAAGTAACTAAACGGTGAATCTTTTTTAAATTTTGGGATTAGATAAATGACGTATTTATTTATACGTATGTTTAATTTCAAAGGTCAAAGTTGGAAATTATTTTTTACATTAAATTCGCTCGTACTTCCTTAATCTCGAATTTTACGCAATTCACAATTTCACCAGAGATTTGTTAACTAATAATCGTCATTAAAGCACTTACAAATAAATGACCAAAAAACAGCGATTTTTTCAAGAATCTGATATGTTTTCAACTGGTGATTAAAATAGTTGCAAAATTTACAAAAAAACAATTATTGGTTAACAACATTGGGAATGTCAAATTTACAATTCGTATGAAATTTCGTGCATAATTTTTATATAAAACTGGGAAGTTTCTCTGCAAATCTAAAAATCGTCAAAATTCATTTTGAGTTGAACTTTGATCTTTCATAACTCATAATCAAATTAGATTAGCGAAAAATCATAAAATATCTTAGAAAGAGAAAAAAATAATTTTTCTCAGGTTATTCTTATGAAAAATTTAAATGTGCGATGTGGAGACATTTAATATTAAAATTAAGGTCTCATCATTTAACAGGCTCATTTTTACATCTAAACAGAACCTTTGAGCATGTTCCCAAGTAAAAATGAAACAAAAAAAGTTTTTTTTTTTAAGACACCCTAGTGTATATAATATAATATATATCGACATTTTAATTATCAAATTTGCTAACTCTGTTTCAAAAAGTTCTCAATTTATGAGATGAAGAAGTTAATTAAAAATATTTTTTAAATCTAAAAATCAATTTAATATCTAATTTAAGTTTGATATTATAGTTTTGGTGATCATCATAATAATTTATAATTTGACTGTTACTAAGAATATCAAAAAACCAACCTGTGAAAAAAATACGGAGTTAGTCAATTTGCTAATTAGAGATATATGTTATTCTATAATAATCTTAACTTCTCTTTTCATGTAACGTGCATAAAAACCTTAAATTTGCAGGGGCAGACGTTCATATTTACAAAGACAATGAAACATCCACCTGTAAAGGTATATTTTTCTCGACTGAAGAAATGAGATCAGACTTTAAAAAATGGCCGGAAATAGTGTTCCTAGACGGCACTTATAAATTAACAAACAACGATATGACGTTAATGATTTTTCTTGTTGAAGATGGTACCGGTCGTGGGGAAGTTGCTGGATTAGCTTTTTTGTCAACAGAAGAACGCGACGTCCTCGAATGGATGTTGAATACTTTCAAAAAAGTCAATAAAAAAGCTTGTGAAAAGATTAAATGCTATATGACCGATAAGGATCTGCTGGAGCGTGATGTTTTGAAAAACGTTTTTCCTGGTGTTCCGACTTACATATGTGCCTTTCACAGTGAAAAAATTTTCGAGAGAGTCGTCAACAACCCAGATATGAATTTAAGTAGTGAAGTCAAAGTAACAGCTATGAAAATTTTAAAAAATATGATTTTTACCTCTTCGGAAGAAGAATATGATGATTTGTATTTAGAGTTAAATTTAACTGTATCTCTTAAATTTATAAAATATTTTGATACGAATTGGCATAATATCCGTGAGGATTGGTGTATGTATAGCGTCTTGAAAAATAGTCTTGGGAATACTACTAATAACCGACTTGAATCGGTCAACGGAAAAATTAAACAAGTGATTAAGAAAAACTCATCTATGACAATTGCAATAAAAAATTTTTTTATATGGTACGCTAGTCACAAAACTACGAATCTTTTGAGAACTGCTGGGCAATTTTTGAAAAAACCAAATTTGCAATTTGATCCTGACGATGCGGAAAAGAAATATATAGAAACTTTATCACAGTATGCCAGTGCGAAGGTCTTAAAAGAAATACAATACAGTAAAAAAATTGTTTGCTCCAATATTGATGAAATTCACAAAATATGCCAGGTTAATAACTTCGAAACATCAACTACGAAGTGCCAATGTACAACATTAATATCATATCAGATACCGTGCCGACACATTTTTGCTGTCCGACGCCATTTTCGCTTGTTTTTATTTGATGACTGTTTATTTAATCAGCGTTGGAGTAAAAAAAAATTGCTAGATTCAGAAAAGCCATCCTCTCGATCACCCAAAAAAAATTATTGACAAGTCGTCATTTTCCATTACAAAAAAGAAAAATATAAGACGTACTCAAACATTTTCCCAGAAAAGAAAAGAAGTATTAGCCAAATTTTCAAAACTTGCAACTATTATAAGTGCGTCTTGTGGTTTCGAATATGATAGAAAATTAAAAGCAGTTGATGATATGATGGAATATTATTCAAATAAAATTAATGTTAAAGTAACCCCTGATAATCAATTATATGATAATGAAGATAAAGATTTAGAAACAAGTTTTCAAAATTTGTCTGTTGGAAAAAATTTTGAAATTAATGAGATCGAGACAACTACAAACACTCAAGATTTGAATAAAATAAAAACTCCCTCAAGAATAAAAGTATCTGGACGACCAAGGGGATATTTGAGAACAACAAGATGTATAAAAAAAAAAAAAAAAAAAAAAAAAAACATTTAATAGTTTGCTGTATTTATTAGTTATTTTCTTGAGATATTATAATGATAGCTATGAAAAATACAAATTCAAGATATTCAATTTCAGAGTAAGTAATCGATGCGGCTTTCTAAGTGACTAATTATGTATGTACAATCACGTACGTGCGGTGTAAAAAAGTGCTGTATTAGCAGTGATCGTGGACCAAGTGTAAATAACTTTTACTTTGTTTTGAAGACTAATTATTATTTTAAACTTTTTTTAAACTTTTAAGTTTATAACTAACTAAGTGAGGCATAACTCATAACTCTGATAATTTTCTTACGTGATCGATATAATTTTTTCATACTCCAAAAATGATTACATTGTTTTTCGATTATTATTATGATACTAGTTGAATATTTATTAAAGTATTAATCAATAAGTTAAATAAAGAATGAATCAATAAAAAATTTTACTAATTATATTTTATTTCATTAATTCTAGAGATATTTTGTGATCAGAAAATGTTTTTCGCGCCCATAAAAATGACCCGTGCGTATGCGCAAATAGTACCCGTGCACATGGTAGCACGGGAGCGGTCATATTCCGGCCATCTAGTAACTTTCCCGTGCGCATGCGCGAAGAAATAGTAAAAATCACCATTTTTCCCGTGTTGCCCGTCCCCTGTCCCCCCGTCCCTCCGGGCGAATAGCCACACTCGCGAAAAATAATAATAATAATTCGTCTTCTTCCTCGTCTTGGAGAAGAAGGCTACTGCGCATGTCTAGCGAGAGCGATAGCCAATCAATAAATTCGTTCTATTGATGTTGACATCGATAGCCAATGGTAAAATTCGATACCTGTGGCGTGATCAGTCAGGCGGTTTACGCATGCGGGTGAGAAATAGCGGGAACGATGGCTTGTCAGGTGCGTGTTGTAAATTTGGGGAGCCCACAGTGACGTATTGCTCACTGAGTGGGCCTGTTCACTGAACAACAAGGTACTATATAAAAAAAATTGAGCCAAAATTTTAATGTCAATCGAGATTTTTGACGGTTTTCAAAAATTTAAAATTTAACAAATTTGGCATTCTTCAAAATTTTTTTCCAAAATATTTTTTTTTTCAATAGCCCCAAGTGTCTCCTTTCAAACAAACGAAAGGCCATTCCCGTATCTATAATAACGTTCGAGATATTCCAAAAACAAAATTAAAAAACTGAAAAAATAGCGAAATTTTGAATTTGCATATCTTTTGAATAAAATTTTTTAATTTTTTATCGTCTGGCAGAAGTTCGTTATATGATAAAAGAAATTTTCTGATCAAAATTTATCCAAATCAAAAGGGGTCAATTCCAACTGTAGGTCAATTTGACATGGAATGAACCAACTATATTATACTATTAAGTCGCTATAACAGTAGTAATCCTGTTGCTGCAACATGGCTGCCTCCTGTTGCTGCAACATGGCTGCCTCCTGTTGCTGCAACATGGCTGCCTCCTGTTGCAGCTACAGGAAAATCCTGTTGCTGTAACAGGAATTTTTCCTGTTACTACAACAGGAGGCAGTCATGTTGCAGCTGCAGGAAAATCCTGTTGCTGCAACATGACTGCCTCCTGTTGCAGCAACAGTTAATTTTTTTCCGTGTAGAAATTAAAAATAGCTAATAGATATTTAGAGGGAATGATATATTAAAGTTTGGTGCCAATTATAAGTCAATACATCACAGGAAATGAATTAGAACTGTTTTGCTGAGTATTGGGGTCTACTGGACCCCGTGTGTCCTCAACGTAATTTTTTCGACGTGTGTTCTCAACGGGTTAAAGAAGAAATCAAAAACGTCGCTCTCCAAAAGAACTCAAATATTGAGTTTAAAATTAGAAAGAAAAATATTCAATTTTTTCATCATTTTCTTCAAGAACTAAATTTTAAGAAGATAAAAATACAAGAGCAACGCCAATAGAACAGCAGTGATTGAAATGAGGAATATTGTTTGGCCTTGACTACTCAAGATAAATGCACACCTCATAACGCAAAGCGGTATAATGTACAAAATAAAAAATTCTGAGGAATAAAATGTTAGCTCATTTTTTTGGATCTTCAGGGGAAAAAATAAATTTGCAGTGACGATAAATATTTTATTTTACCAGAGGTAAATATTCTGGCGAATGGAACTAGTGTATAAATAAACTAAACGAAATAACATATAAATAATCGAAAAGACGGTCACGAGGATAGGCATTTAACTTTTGGAGGCTGTTACGTTGGATATCTTGAGGCCGCAGGCGATGTTTTCTTTTCATTTGTAGTAAATTTATCGGTTGCCGAGTGCTCACTGGCATCTACCACATCCGCGTACGGAGGAGTGCAAGTGCGCTGAAAAATAAACAAAAAACGTACAAACGAGCTAGCGAAAATAAAAAGGACATGGAACAGGATAAAGGGATAAAAAAATAAGTAGAACACGGAAAAGTGTTTGAGAGGAGGGGGAAAAGAAACGGAAGCTACAAGCTACCGAGAAAAAGCTTATTCGGAACGAAAAGAAGCGATAGAGAATAAAGAGCAACTGGATACGGGTGCATGTCTTGTACTCAGCTTCCCTTTTGTTTCAGCCACTCATTTATTTACTCTCTCGTTTTGTCTTTTTTTCACATTCTGCACCCATGGATGTTTCTAGGAAACCGCAAATCCCCAATTTTCACTAAAGTCGAACCGATGAGTTGAGAAATAAAAATGAAAGACCGAAAATTTTTACTCAACGTTTAATTGAATTATCTGTATTTTTAATCAGTTTCATTAAATTGCTCCTTGGATGGACTATATTTTGAGATTTTTTTTTAATTTTCATAAATTTACACAGAAAAAAAGGTTCACTGAGCCAAGAAAATATTTTTCTTCCTAATTACTTTTTCGAGCGAATCAAAAATTTTTTTTTGACACAAGAAATTTCACTTATTCCAACAAAATTAATTCTCTTGCTTTAAGAAATACGTATCTTGATCCAAGAAAATTTATTTAAGTCAAGAAAATCTTCTTGTTTTGAGAAAATTCAGCCTCTTGCTCCAAAAAATTTAGTTTTTGATAGAAGTCAATTTTCTTGTCTTGAGAAAATTTCTCTCTTGCTCCAAAAAATTAAATATAAAGATAGAAGTCAATTTTTATTGATTAACATATCAAATGGGAAAATCAAATAATATTGAATCATTTTTTTTCATTCAATATGTATAATTGCACGGTAAAATAATATAAAATGGGTATCAAATATTCAAGAGAAACATTTTCTCAAGGTGAAAAAATTTTTTTCTCAGCTGAAGTAGATCGCGCTGTTTCCCTAAAGTATCTAAAAATCTTGATTAAATATAAAAATTTATTGTATCAAGTATTTACAATAATTTGTCAAGAAATTTTTCTTTCTGTTTAAGAATAATATCTTTAATGATAAGTTTGTCGTCTTAAATAAAGAATTAAATTGATTTCATCGCCCGAGGAAAAATAATTGGATCTAATCATGCATTACAAGATTTTTTTTGTTCCCATTATTTTGTTAATGTTTATAATGTATAAATCAGTAAGAAAAAATTTATTGCTGTAACAAAATGATTTTTTGCTATAAAAAAATGATTTGTTTTACCAAAAATAGTTGTGAAAGTCAGAGAAGCGTTTCTCCAAGATTGTCATTAAAGTTATAATTTACAATTTGGTACACAGTAAAAAATATTGTGTAAAATCAACACAATTTCTGTGTTAAAAACGGTCCACACAAAATTAGTGTTGAAATTGAACACACTTTATGTTATTTTAAAACAAAAAATTTTTAACACAGACCGTATTTACATAAAAGCATAATATTTTTTACTGTGTAGGAATCTTTTATTTGTCATGCAGCGATCATTTCAAAACGGATTTCAATAAATTTTACTTCTGATGGGGATTGTGAGGGTGGTATTAGAATGTTAAATTTCTATTTCTAAACTGTTATTTCTACTGACTCCAAATTTAGTAGAAAACTTTGTGTATGATGTCAAGTTCAGCTAAAAATGGATTTTATCAAATATAGGATATCTTACGGAATTCGTCTCCCATATATAAGAATGAGGAGGTGTTAATTGTCAAACAATGAATATTCTTCTAATACGGTTAACTGATATAAAATTTGATAGAATCTCAAAAGAAACAGGAAATTTCAGGGAGGGCCTCCAGGGTCAACTGATTTAAATATTTTTCCTCCTTAATATAATATAAGGTTTCCAAAACTTAACTTGACATGTAGTTATTTAGTGATATAGGACTAAGAATTTTACATACATGTTATTTTGGCTGATCACATAAGCGATTAATTGTTCTTATTGCAGGATCGCGGGAATATGACAAATTAAAATGAATGCATTTTTCCAACACTTCATTTGTGAAAAAGGAATTTGGCTAATATTTAAATAGAATTCGTAAAATTAATTTTCTATAAAAAATTTGTATCATTGAGAAAATTTTAATACGCAGAAAAATTAACGAAATAGTTAATAAAAATCGACAAATAGGTAGAACATTTGATGAGTAATAAAAAATATAAACTTAAATGTATTTGATTATCATCATAATTAATATTAATTCTCCTTCACATCAATAGTTATTTTTTTTTTTATCAACCATTTAATTTACATAATTAAATGGTATTATGAATAATGAGAATAATGTTAATTGAAATGTCAATTAGAATGTAAGTTTAAATTCATTTAATTTGACCACTATTAGTTTATTTGATTAAAAAACAGGTTCCTCTACAGTCATATTGATCTGCTGATCCCGGTTTTCGTAATTTGAAACTTGGAATAAACTAATAAGAGAGGATGAAAGTGTCTAATATCCCTATAGGTTAAAATGAGATCGTGAATGACGAAGAAGAATGAGGACTAGGACGACAACAATGAAGATGCAAAGAAAAAATAGCGGGATCTGGTGAGCATGTCGTGTCGCATAATAACACTTGCCCCGGGCTTTTCTTCATAGCATTTACCTCCGGAAACAATTTTCGAACCAATGACTAGACTGTTTCCATAGTACGGTGATATTACTTTTCTTGGTATCGATCGTAGTACCGCAAGTGATGCGTGTCTTCAATGTTCAATGTTCAGCCAAGACAG